TAAAATATATATATATATTTAATATTTTGTTAGGTCTCCTTTAGTTACAATACAAATTACAATATAATGTGACATGCTAACAATTAACCAGCAAATAATTTATGATGAAATATTGTTCCAAAATTCTTAAATAATATGATTCAAATCAAAGAGATTTGTTAGTTTATATTTGTAAACTTGTTTTTTAACAATATGTTATAAACTTTTTATTGAGTTAAAGTCTGAACTTTAAGGAAACCAGTTTATAACATAAATATAATTTTTTAAAAAAAATTCCTTAACCATTTTTGCAACATGTGATAGTATATTATTATGTTAAAAAATAGGTTAGCCACTATAATACCAGTTAGAAATAGTTTTAATAACTAATAAAAAATAATTGTTAAGAATATTGAGTTTCTATTAAAATAAAAAATATATATTAATAAAAAACTTTTTTTTTGTTATTATTATTATTTTTTTTGTTATTATCATCACTTTATTTTTTTTTTAATATCTTTTTAATATACTTTTTCTATTATTTTTTTTTGTTATTTTTTGATTTACAAATTTGTTTTTTTTTTTTTCACTTTTAATTTGTTTTTTGCATTTTTTAAAATAAATATTATTACTTTAACTTGTTATTAGATTGAAATAAGACTTGAATCTTATAATTATTTTTAGTTTTTTAAAAAAAATAAATAAATATTGCTTTTTTTCTACTTATAAATTTAACTTTATTTAATATTTTTATATTATTTTTTTTAATTAAAATTATTTAACTTTTTTAAAAACCAATTATATTATAATTTTGTTGTTATTTAACTAAGAATTCTAATAATTCAATTTAATTTGATTCTCAATTCTCAGGTTTACTATATATTAAATTTAATATATGAATTATAACATATCATTTTTAATAATGTTCCAAACATTATATGAGTTTATGCAAATCTGTTCAATTTCAATTTTTAAAATCATATATATAACTAAAAACATATGAAAAAACATTTTTTTTACTTTTTCTGTGATTAATATAATTAATCAATTATCTTTTAAAAAATTCAGTATAATAAAAAATCCAAGATTATTTTTGCCATAATAAGTTTTATATTTAGTTGCAAAAATAAATTAAAAAAATATTTGAAAAAAAAAACAAATGACTATTGTTTGCTTTGTTGATTAAGAAACTAATGTTATTAAAGAAAGTATATAAATTTTATTGTAAAGATATAAAATCTTTTGAAAACATCTGTTTTTTGAATTTACAAAAGAATCAGCAAAAAAAAAAAATATCTTATTCATTATATATTTAATATATTATTTACAAAATATTGATATCAAAAATATCAATAAATTTATAAAGTATAAAAAAACATTTTTATTTAGCAATAAATTACTTGAAAAATTTAAGTTTCTACTTGAATTAAAATAAATAGATAAATAAATAAATAATTCATCTTCAAATTCCTGTATATAAATTCACCTTTGTCACGTGTTTGTATACGAAAATAAAAATTATTCCATAGAAAAAAATAATATTGTAATCTATTCACTTTTTCCAATCAATGTGATTTATATAGTTCATCCTTTTAAACCCCGACTATAACATCGCACTTGAAAATCCAATGAATAAAATACATATACAATTAAAAAAAAAAAAAATAGTATATTTTCGTATAAAGGTGCACGTGTAACCGACCGATATAAAAAAAGGTGCTTAAGCTGCTTTTGAACTAACATCAAAAATAATATCTAAAATTCTGGGAAATGAATGGAGTAAAATTAAGAACCGGAACATTGACGAAATTTTGATGTGGGAATTGAAAAGGGTGAATGAGCGTACCGAGAAATTTTTTTTTTTTTTTTTGTTGTTGAGAAAAGATAATCCAAAATTAGTTATATAGTCTAAAGGAAATCCTCTATGCACTTGGCGGGGAACCTGTACGCCCGAAAACCGGTCGGGCATTAAGTATTGTTCTCCCTCATGATTTAAGTGTTAATTGAACCAGGAACCTGATGTGCATAATAATTAGAAAAAGATGAAACCTAAGAGTTAACACGGTAACATAAGAATATATATATAAAAAGAATTTTGTTGCCAATCCCTTCAAAAAGATAGGGCACTAAAACATCAAGGAAACGGATAATATACAAAGAAAATATGTAGTAATAAAATGGTTTTTCCAATCACTTTAAATTTCCGATAAATCTTCCAACAATTTTTTCTTTTGTTCCTTGGTGATCATCTTACTCGCCTTTCTGGCCATCAGTCGCTCAGTACGATATTGCTCGTAAAACACCTCCAGGGTAATATCTTTGAATAATTTTCGGTGACTCGACAAAAGTACATTTCTTAGTTCAACAAAATCGCAATGTTTTGGGTTCAAGCAATCAATAATTCCCCAAGCATATTGGCGTCCCCTGATTTTTTCACCGGTTGTTGGATCACTGAGATCAGCGTCTTCTGGAGCAATTAGGGAAAACGGGATGAAGGATTGTGCGTTTGCAACCACTTCCTCTACTTCAGGATCCATTAATTCATCATCAACCGGAAAATCAAATACAGGAATGCTATGCTCTTTCAGGTCATTTTTAATGGCCTGCTTGAGATTTGCAAGTTGTGTAGTCGTAAGTAAATCAGCTTTTGCAACCACCGGAATGACATTTACTCGAGCAGTCAATCGTTTTAGGATACGAATGTCCTTGTCGGTCAATCCGTTGTTTGTATTGTCGATAAAATAAAGGCATGCATGAATTTGGCTATCTTGAGCCTTGGGATTACGCTTTACTTTAGTTTCCTAGATGTGATTTAAGAAAGGAAAGATTTGTTAAATAATTTTAAATAATGCTGATTCTATAAAAAATTTCATATGCTCATATGTCATAAGAGAATTATTCACCTCTGCTAATGTGTGATCAAATTGAGATTCAATATATCTCAATGCTTCTGTGACTTGAACGTCAAGCCTAAGTTCGTTATCCCTTACAAATCCAGGGCTGTCAACTAAAGTTAAAGAAATTTTCTCTCCCTCCTCTTCGACATCCAACGTAAAAGAGTACAATTCTTGTGTACTTGAGGCCGCAGCGTCTTGTGCCGTTTCGGAGCTTTGGAACAAGCTAGCGGGAAGCTCCGTTTTTTCTTTAGAATATTCACGGACACAAAGTGTGTTGTAAAGCATTCGGATGAAGGATGTCTTTCCAAGCGAAGAAAATCCCACAACCATTATGTTTAGTTGCGAAACGGCGTGTTTACGTCGCCGGGAGCCGCGAGACATATTTGCAGACATTGTGGACATTGCAAATCAGTTCTGGGTCTGTTAAATAACGGAATTGAAGATAAGGGTTTTCGGTCGTAACTGGATGTTAATTCCTAAATGAGGGATTGTGATGGGTGTAATAAAGGAGAGGAAAAGCAAGCAAATCCCTGGTAAACTCTTTTTGTATATGAATAAGCACACGTCGTTCTTTACGCGGGAACGGGCTAAATAAAAAGGAAAAAAGTTAGAGGTCGTGTAGCGTAATGTATCTCTTGTGAACTCTTACTTTGGTGTGAGCAATAATAAATGCTGTACATGCTGTACAACAGACTTAATTGATTGGATAAGTCGTTAAACATAACATATTATCATCACTCTATTTTGTGAGACGAAGCTCGCAAAAAAAAAAAAACGACGTACGTATGTAATTTATACATGTATTGCAGTATATGAGTACCAAACATTTCTGCAAGTGTCACACACACGATATTCTTTTCCTTATCTGCTGAGGTTCTTGTACATGGTTGATTGATTACTGTTAGGAGAAATTATTTCTCCTATACAAATTTGTTTAATAATAAACGTTTTATTCAAAACAAATAAAATAAAATCTTCGTTTGATAATCATTTATTATGAACATGATCAGTGAGTCAAAGAACAAATTCGAAATGCAAGATGAATAAACTAGATATAGCTCAATTCGATGGCCATACTGACGGATAGCTGTTGAAGTTTAAGAACCGTTGAATCACTTAGCATTTAAGTCATTATAATTACCGAGATAAATTTGATTAAGAAACAATACACAATTTACCTTTGCGAATTCGAGCATATGTTCGAAACTGAGATGTTTAATCAAATCGTCCGAAGAGTGAATATACGGATTAGTATCTTCCATGGAATCCTCAATGACAAATGCGGAAGGATATCCTGCCTATAATTTAACGGGTGAGAAGATAATTTTTTTACACTACAATAAGATCTTGAATAAATACCTTTGTCCACGAAGCATGATCCGAACAAGCATATCTAAGGAGCCGAAGATAACGGGTGATAAGATGCTAATATATGTACTTATTATGCTGAAGGAAGTACCATCACTTACCCGCATTTAGATTCAATTGATGGAATACTTGCGTACGTATTTACGAGCGACTTGAGGAATTCAGTAAGACCGGTGTCAACATAATCCGTAATGATTGCCAGTGATTCGGTCCCCTCTTTGCCAACATATCCCGTCATGTCATTCTGAGTTTTAAATCCATATGATTATCAAAAATGAATTGGATCATATGTATCTAAACATTCATTTATTACCTGCAACATGCCTACTACATCTATTCCTTCTTTTTCATATTTCAAGGCGATATCTTGCGAACCCAAAAGTCCGCCTTCTTCAGCGGAATACCAGTGAAATTCAACCGTTCGCTTAGGCCTGAAATTTCCTTCAACCAATACGCGAAACGCTTCTAGAATTGTGACTGTACCACTCCCGTCATCATCAGCTTTATGTGATGATTTAATTATTAACGCTGACATGAAAGGTGTTAATGTGAGTTCTATTGTTCATTTTAAATTACCTCCTGGTGCCCTACCAAAGTAGGGCATCCACATGTTTACTGAATCCTGGTGTGCCCCCACTATAACGACTTCGTTGTCCTTTTCTGGATCACTGCCTTCAAATCTTGCAATAATAGATTTCTGTGGCCATTTGTGTTCAAACTGACTAACTGATATGGATGCATCAAGTTTTGCGCCTTTTACAATATTTGAAACTTGTTCGAAGAGCCAGTTTGAGGATTGAGCACCGAATTTTGAACGAAAATATCTGTTTCGGAAGGAGGTGAATTTTTCAAGATTTTTTTGCATATATTCGGTGGTAAGGTTGCCAATGAAGGGAGTAACCTCGTCGTAAAAAGCAGGTCCAGCAGGGAACTCTTTAACACATAAATATCGCATCAATTCAGTTGATAAAAATTATGATCACAAAAAAAATAAATGAAAATGTACCTTGCTTTTTTTTCGTCTTATAAATTGTTCCCAACTCTCTATAATCTGTTATATCCATAAATTTTGTTTTGTTCCTAATCAAATCAAGGATCTCTCCTTCGGTCATCCAGTAATAACTTGACTCGCTAGTTTGAATTAACCTTAAATCATCTTGTATAGATTCAAAATATTGAAACTGATCATCGTAGGTAAGGTCGAAAGATTGCTGAACATTCTGCTCCCCGACTAGAAGAGTAAACGGAAAAATGGCGAACAAGAAAACAAATTCAAAGAATTTCGTCATGTTAAAGGGTGCCATAAAATCGTAAGAAGAAACACTTGTGTGTACATACCACACAAAATAGGTCGTTCAAAAAGCCGTGTGACCGTGAAGAAGAAATTGAATAAATGGCATGCATTTATTTACCAAAGAAAGAGGAAGGATTTTACTACATAAGGAAATTATTTAACGTTCTATTGATATTGTAATAAATATTGGGAAAAAGATCAGCTGATCAAAAAATTAACCATTAGAAACCATTATTTTAAAAGCCATGGCTTGAAATATAAATAATTATGATGTAAGCCATAGTGGTTTTAGCAGTGGCTAATTTTTATTTTTTGTTTGTAACATGGCGTCTAGTTGAAAATAAATAAATAAATAAAATAAATAATAAAAAATTTATTATAATTTTGAAAGATTACAAGCTTATAATTGATAAAAAAAACTTATTGAAAAAATTATTAAAATATAATATAGGTTTCGTATAAAATTATTATAAAGACATTTTATAATACAAAAATTTAATTTAATTTTTTTTTTTAAGTAGATAAATATTATTTCTTTATTTATTTATATAGTAATATATACTGTATATAGTATATTATGAAAAAAACAATATCTCTTAGATACAAAAGTATACAATAAGTTAAATGCTAACTTGCCTATATAATCTATATCTAATTAATATTGAAAATAAATTTTAAAACAATATTAATATATTAAATATAGCTGAATTGCAGTTATGCCTATTTATTTAAAGTTATTTGAAAAGATATAAGAAAAAAAAAGAAAAGTAAAAAGAAAAATAAAGACTATTAAAATTAAACCTAAGTCAAACAAATTATATAATCTATAAAAATAAAAATTATAACTTCAAAAAAACTTTCACATTAACTTATAGTTTTGTAACTCTGATTCCTTGCTACTTGTTGATATAACTTTTGTTGATTCAAATAGTAAAATATAAATAATATTATTTATTGTTTTAATAGTAATAATAATAATTATTATTATTATATTATAAAATCAGTTTAAATTGATTTAAATTTTGTTTTAATGAAATAATGGAATCTAAATGAATAATATTATTATTGTTATGAAGATATGATTAGTAGTTGATATAGTAATAGATTTATTTATAAATGTTTAGATTGTTATAAAAATAGTAGTTATTATGATTATACAGTAGCAGTCATAAGTCGTTGATCCATCCTTTAAAAATCCAAATCTAAGTCAATTGTTTTGAAAATGTTAGGACAAATAGTTTATCACAATTCTAGATCCTCTAAATTTTTTCAGGTTTTTGTAATT